TGCAGTCTAACACCAACACTACAAAAATACACTCCTGTGTTTGAAAGCCAACGCTGTACACACAAACTTCCATGTGTGCAAACACCAACACTACACAAACACACACTCCTGCATTCTAACATTAGCTTGATGCACAAATACACAAACATTTACACATACACAAGCTCCATACAAAAGCACACTTACATTCATACACATACAACCCCCAACTGATTTGTAACACCTTCCATCTCTTCTACTATTTCAGTTTGCTAGTAGTGAGGGTAATTTGATTTTGAACTTGAATAATACTTTACCTACTATCATGGTTAATGTTACTGACTATTTTATACACCACCAGTCAAGCATTTTTTCTGATACCACACATTCTGCAGCACTGTTTCCCTACTTGTGTGCTCACAGTTTTTGGAGTTACAAAATAAATTAATTTAAACAGCTTTAATGCATTTTTGTTTTTCACATACTTTAAAGGACACTTTAAAGGACACAAATAAGTAAATCACTATTTTGTAGATATTCCGCAATGAAAACATGCATGCATTTAATTATGGAATTGTTTTTCATGTGGGGTGTATCTAAAAACAGATTGCATAAACTGCACATCTGTTGCATCCTTTTTTTTGCCAGCCCAGACTTTCTGTAACGGTCAAATCCTAGACTTACCAATGCAGCTCAATGAGAAGTCTTTGCAAGACATGTGCTCTAAGCAATTGTCTGCCTCTTGAGTTTAGCTCCACTGAGCTAACCAAACCAGGAAGTAACAAGACCGGTTGTTTGCTTGAAAGCCAGTGAGGAATAACAATGTTAATTGATCGAAGTGTTAATTTCCATTGAAATCTGCACTTTTTGTAAAATGAAAACATAAGACACAATCAAACACAGTGGCGTACCTACCACAGTCGCAGTGGCAACCCCTGCGACCCCATGGGCCGCAGTTTCTAGGTGTCTGGCAGGAGGGGAGATCTGCACTGTGCTACTCCTCTACTGCATGTATATAGCATTGTCAAGAGACTGGGGGGGAGGGTATAGGACACATGGAGGGGCTGGAGGGAGGAAATGAGACACATGTGGGGCCTGGGGGGGGGGTAAATAAGGCACATGGAGGGGTTGGGGGCGAAGGAATGAAACACATGGGTGGAGAGGGCAATTTTTTCACCGGGGCCCTGTGGTTTGTAGTTGCACCTCTGATCAGACATAAAGCTTTTCCGCAAGCTAAAATGCTTTAGGGGTTTGGAGTGACCATTTAACGGTTCTAGCTGTTTAGTATAGAATTCCTAATGATATCTAAAATGTACTTTTTTCGTGATTTTTAAAGTCCCAAAACTGGCTGATTACTTACTGAAGTTCCATTATTCTAAGATACACTTGTGTGCATTTCTGTCCATGTCTTGATTTCCTTTAATTCCTTGATACATTCTGGCCTTAATCTTGTGTAGTCAGATCCTTGAACGTAATGACACAGCTGAAATGAAATGAATTGTTGAAAATAAATGCAGAGGAATAGAGCAAGCAAAGTAAAGAAATCTGAGAAGAAAAGACTTGAGCAAATTAAAAGTTTTATTTTCTTCTGCTTTACTTCATGGAGTCCATTGAGAAGCATACACATAGACTTAATCATGACTTTTTAATTTGTGTTTCCATTGTCCTCATGCTTTGCACATAATACTCAATTTGACCACATATATAATGATACCGTCCTATTACACAAGACACAAACCATTATTTTCCTTTTTTTTCCCTTTTAGATGACTATTAAAGTTACTTAAATAATAATTTGTTTATTAGTGTAATCTGTCATAAATGAATCTGAGAACACATTGTGTTAAGGTCCCTTTTAAATAATCTCTACCACCACTTGGGTTTAAAAGACTTGAATAATCTCCTAAAATAAAAAATAAAAAACTGAGCAAATTAGGGTAGGGTGAGGATTTCAAGTTTCAATATAAGGAAACATAAAATTTGGAAATAGCATTCGTCGAAGACCCACATCTGATTAATCTAAAACCATACCTTAAATAGTTGTCTCCAATGGAATATTATTTCCGTTCTTTAATTTAGTTTAAAAAATATATCATATATATGAATATGTTGTTGCAAAGGTTTTGCACAATGTATGCTTTTGTTATATGTTTAAGCTTATATGAAGAACATAAATATCATTCCATTGGATATTACTGTTAATGGTATGTTTTTAAATATATCACAATCGGGTGTTATTTAAATGCTATTTCCAGAACAATTTATGTTCCTATACATACACTTCAAATCCACATCCTACCTTTACTTCATAAATTCATCTGTCAGGACTACTAGTTTTTGTCAGTCCTGACCCTGGCACCATGATAAATTGCTTATCTTCTCTATTAAAAGTCTTCATTCTAGTTACCGAGATACCACACATATAACATTTGTAAAGTCAACTAGACAGTTGTTGAGAGGCAGAATTTTGATATAATGTAATCAGTCTTTATTCAACAGCATCTTTTTGTGCAGCTGTGAGCATTCATGTAAATGATGATTCATCTATAATGATATTATTTGTGAAAGAAAATGTTTGCCAAAAAACTGTTCATGCTGTCATCAAACACATGCCACTTCTTAATAGTGAAGTGTGTATTCCTAATTACAGCAGATATAGCAGAAAGCATTGGATTCTGGTATGGAACATGACATTACACAGACTGTTAGGGGAGTTAAAAGAGGTGACCTTTTAATGTGACAATAATTCCAATCTGGAAGTCACAGCATATTATCAGAACAGTAAATGGAGATCAATTATGCTGCCCATTCAATAAACAAGAAGAACAAGTTCATTAAGCCAAGTCACTCCTTTATAATTTGCATGCAAATGTATTTAGATATTAATGCAAATATTTAACTCTTTCAATATTTCATCTTTCATAGTAACTCATTTAATTTGTATTGAAAGTTAGTTCTATCAATGTATACATATGTAATTAACATTTTGTATGATAATGACAAAAGCTAAGAGACAATTTTCTACATTGTTAGATTGATACAGTTTGAATTTACTAACCCACAAGTATTTACTAAAATACTGTAAATTCGGAAATAAAATTACCATTGTATTAAAAAGTGTCAATATATTGCACCATGCTTTTCAAAGGGTATGTAAGGTATACAGACAAAGCCACATTTAATTGAATGGAAATATAGCAGGTCAGTAACCATGCTTAAACAAGTTTACAGTTGCATGAAAAGTAAAAAAAATAAAAAATAAAAAATTACAGCATGGAAACGTATTGATAAAAGTGTGGTAACCTATTGATATGTATATAACAATGTATAAAACTAAAAAAAAAACCTAAAGTTGCAATGAAAGAGCCAGTTATATGAGGTAGTAAAGGAGTAGAGAGACATGGAGCAGTTGTGGATGGTGAAGTTTTAAGATGATGAGACATTAGAAAACACCCACATAACTTGACGATATCCTTCTCTCTGGAAACCCCACCATATATTCTGAATTTGTTAGGAAGTGAAGATTATCTGGGTCAGCAATTGTACTCTCTCATGCCATGGACTTTCATCAATTTAGAACTCTCTGTATTTCTCCTTATCCCCAGCCAGCTGGTGAGAAGCCCCAATGAACGTGAAAACACAGTGTAAAGTTCAAAGTGACATCTGACATTTAATAGATGGTATTATTGAATAGGAAACAGGGGTGGTCTTATGAGCATCATACAATAATAACATGATTTGTCTATCTTATCTTAACATATCCTAACCTATAGCTAGCTTGCAGGTGTGTTGTGGGACTAATCTTGCCTTGTACTAAGCTAAGTTTCAGTTTAACTGCGCCGTTAAAAATATAGAGAAGTTACTACGCACAAATATATATGTTACTATGCAGTTAGAAATACAGAAGTAGAAAACAAGAAACAGCACCAACGCCCTGAGATAGGAACGTTTATAGCTCTGTGTGTAGGGGTATATTCACTAAGCATTGTATAAATAAAGTGTATTATTCCTAAGAGCACTCACATGAAATTTTAAAAAAGCTATCAAGAAAAACAACTTAATGTCATTGGTTTAAGACTTTGACTGTCAGAGATATGACTACATTGCAAAGAATGTGTAACAGCTGGAAGCAATCCCAAAGAGAAAGCATGTTTTGTGGGCATTTTCATGTATGATAAAAACACTTCTTCTAGGTATCTAGAAAATTAAGAGTTGTATCTAGTCTGTAATTAATTTCTAGAAAAGCCAAGCTTGAGACAGAGAAGCTTATTAGTAGATGGTGCACAAATATATGGATATGACATATGGTTTTGAATATCTTAAGGTCTTTACCTATACTTTTACTTTTCCCAAGACATTCCACGTAAGCAGCTACCATAATCAGATCATAGCTGAGATCAGATTAGTTAAATGTGAATCTAAAGCTTGATCATCCATATGCTCCATAATATAATTGCAGTTCAGACTACATGGGCATGCAAAGTGTTTACTGTCTCTTTCAGAAGAATAATGCTCTAAGCAAAATTACTTTACTTTGGTAAACACTTCAAAAACAAGGTAAAGCATAACAAAATAGAATACAAAATGAACTCTTTGTTTCAAGTAACCCCGAAAAACAAAATTCAGCTTCCTCTAGAGAAAACATTGTAGTCCATACATTATGCCTCTTATAAGAAACATAGCTATTTATATATGTCAGAAACCTAGGTCTCAAGTAGGCTGTTAAAAGAGTACTCAAATGTTAAAAATAACATTTATTTTTAAACATTTATGTTCCTATTTAGTGTAGATTACTGTGCTCCCTTTTAAAAAAAAATGTAACAAGAAAACATCAGAACTTATCTATAATCTAGTGCAGAGACAGTTTTGTCTTTGTAGCCAGATTTGCCGACTATGAGGCGATCGTGATGATCGCTGGTTCAGTTCTAGAGAAGCACTGTGGATCTACAGTGTATGTGCAGATATAGTCACTTAATTAGAGTCTTCTCAGTGAGAGGTGTTAGCTGCATTATGCTGCCATAATGCACACAAGTTCTAGTACTGAGACCAGTCCAGGCCACATTCCTGCCTGTAAAGCGGATATTCAAAACTTGCTGGCAGAGATTAAGGCCTATTTCTCAGCCGACATAGTGCTGGTTCATGAAGATATGGGAGTCATGACAGCTCGATTGCTGACTCTGGAGGAAGATGGTGTTACCACGAAAAGCAAATAGGAGGTTCTGAAAGCTGAGGTGGAAGCACTGAAGTGGGTAAACCACACTATAGAATGAAGGCTTTCTGTGCTGGAAGACGCAAGGAAGCAATGCAATCTGCGGGTTCGTGGCATCCCTAAAAGCATCCTGGATGACAAAGTACCTCACTACCTTCACAGAATGTGGAACTCTATGCTATCTACAACTAATGCCAAGACCATACACCTGGACTATCAGTACCGGGTCCCGAAATCGGGTTACAAGGGACAAGGGGTTCCACAACAAGAAATGCACCCACTTACTGGCCTTTTTCGCTGACCTCTCCAGGTCCACAATAATTTGGAGGCACTCCCTGCAACTGGTGACTAATCTGTTAAGAGAGAAGGAGGTCAAGTACCTCTGCCGAAAATTGATCATAATACACACTGAGAAGAGATTGCAGCTAACACACCCCTCAGAAGCAAAACGCCTCTTTAGGCATGCCTGCACCAGATACCACACAGAGGTCAGTGGCAAATGCCTCACGTGCATCATCTGTTCCTTCATGGGATGTTAATGCAATCCAGCCCTTCTACTCCAAGCAGATACAGGTGGCTGAGACGCAGATGTTTTCGGGCACTTGAGTACTGCAGTATGTTACGACGTATAGATGCCTGAAACCTCTCATTGTGTATTGTTTTAGACTCTAATGGAAATTTTAAGCATGGTTCCTAATTCGTGTGCAATATGTTATGTTTGCAACCTGCTCTTTTTGCTGACTTAAGTCAGACAACATGACCTAATTCCCATTGGAAGTGGCGGCACACATCCGCCTAGTTAGCCACTTTGCCATAGCATTATTGTTTAAGAGAGATTTTCCTTTTCATATGTATATGCCTATTTAATATGTGCCCTGTTTTTCATCTCTGTTTGATTGCACTGATGATGATCACCAGGCACCTGGTGCTTACCAAGTCTTAGTATTAGGCCGCCAGCTGGTTCCTGCTGTAATTTTAAGAACTCTCTCGTGCATCCAATACCCTCCCGAAGGAAGCGATTTATAGTGAAATAGCTATAGTTAGCATATTTTAATAAGTGCAAGTAGCCTTGCCACTAGTTCAGCCAGACAAGGAAACTATATAATGTTTTAAGTTACACATTTTCTGAATAAGACTGCCATTACTTACGCATGCACTTCAAATGTAGCTCACTATGCATTTATCTTTCTGAAAGACTATATGTATGCTACAATAAAAAATACAAAGAAAAAAAGAAACACCATCTATGCACCAATATTACTACATTAATGTTTTGGTGCTTAGAGTATCCGATTAAACCATTATGCTCTTAGTGTCCTCCATCATTTTTGTTAAGATGAGACTATCTTTTCCTAATCATCCCTACTTAATGACCTTGACGATCATAGAGAGGCACGCCTGCTAAAACTCACCTACTAAAACTCTCCTGGTACCATATATACTAACAAAACGTCATGAGTAGGACCGTGATCTTGTTCTAGGTGCAATATGAAATTCTAAATCTTGTACATTTAGAAACTTCCCTGAGAGCTTTATACGCTGTCTTTCATGCTAAGCTGAGATAGAAACATTATTTATGATCTGGTCTATAAAATCAGACATATAAAATGCTAGCATGTCTATTACATATAACAAGCATTTGGAATATATGACAATACATGTTCTTAAAGTTCATATAAATACTTGATAAAATTTAGATACTAGTACCTTGCATCCTACATGAGGACATAACATAGGCTGTGTTTTTTGTGTAATTTTCTGTTAAACTTTTTTTTTTTGTTCTAACTCTAGCCCATGTATAATAAATGAAGTATGTTCACTAATTGGATGTCTGAGCTCCCAAATTATTTTTTAAAGAAAGTACAGCAATGGATGCTTCATTTGGTTTAGTTTTATCTTTAAAACAGAACAAGTCTTTTGTGGGCTATTTGAATAGTTGTTTATATGTCCATGAGGTTTTGACTACATACATTTTACAGCATTGGCAAACAAGCATGTGAATTCAATAACTTGTAATGTAATTAAGATGTTTCATTTTGATTCAGCGTAAAATAAAGAGAGGTACATGATAATTAGAAATGGTGTAATTATAGAATTCAGATTACAACAAGGAAACATTACAAGTCACAGTGTATGAATCCTACTAAGCATTCAAAAAGCAAGTTTATTATATTAAAGTATGGAGTAAAATAATGCAAATGCTATATAAAGAATATTCTCTGATGATATATAAAATGTGAATAAATAGAAGAAAATGCTTGAAACACTCATACAATATATGTATGCATGGTCTAAATTATCACATGTGAACCAGACACTTTATCACTATTACTCACAGCCTCATGTGTCTTGAGAAATTGACATATTTTAACAGATATAAAAAATAGGCAATATTGATAAATTAGTATAAAGAAGACTAAGCCTTAGTTGCATAGAAGTACATTTGTTTAACCCCTTAAGGACCAAACTTCTGGAATATGACATGCCACACATTGTGGGGATATTTATGGGATAATAATAGTAAACAGTTGAGAATTGCCCACTAATTCAATTCTCAGATCCCAAATATCGTTATCGTGTTAAGTGAGAAGTATTTCATATAAATAATATCACAATTTTAATAAAAATAGATTTTATTTATAATAACCAATTAATTAATAATAATATGTAACATGCGTGACAATAATCAATGAATATCCAGTATAAAATGGTATGCAATACAAAGGAATGGCTATATACGTTTCAATGGCTTAAACAGCATTATCTGTCAAGACTTTGACGATTTATGACTATCTTTCCTTAACACAGAGAGAAAGCGAAACTTTTCACAGCAGCGAAGGGCCATAAAGTTTAGCCGACAGTTAGAATAACCCTTTCAATGCTGGCTAGATCTCCTAGGTAGTTAAGATCTATTCTTATGTCATTTTAAATAAAATAACATTTAAACCAGTTCATTAGTCATTTCCTGGAACCATCCAATAAGAGAATCTACCATGATATATAAGCAGAGTTTTAATTTGTCTAAAAGATATCTTATCTTATATTAGAGCAAATCAATACACCTGGATAAAAACAACGGTATGCTAACACGTGATAATATCACATTAATATATAATTATTCTTAATTCCACCTGCAGAATGGAATGTTTATAACTATATATTCTTAGTTAACTAAGATTTCTTAATATGGAAATCTGACCGTGCTTTGTCCAGTCATATATAATGCTATTAATACATTTTAATTAATTTAATTAATTAAATGAAACCAGTATAATTACCAGTTCAGTAGATATTTCATCCGATTGGTAGTCTCAGGAACTTATTTGGATGTCTCTCTGCATGGAGGTGTTGGTTAGAAAGTCAGTAAATTCTAAGTGTTAGAGTTTTAGGAGTAGAGTGTTAGTCTCAGATGTTGTCCGAGTTGGAATCCCCAAACTTCCAATTCCTCTCTCCTCTTTTCCTTTCTCCTTTGCATCTCTTGAATATCTCTATCTTCCCTTTGTCTTATCTTTTAAAGGGCCAGACTCTCTGTACGTCATCAGTTGATAACCCAATAGAAGTACTAGAGGTGTGGTTATCTTCCAGATCGCAAATTAGTTATTTGGTCTATAGAGGGCAGTCTTGTCCCACTAAACATACCTATCCAGGAAAGAGTTAACTTTTCCTGGTGGCTATTTTGACGTCATTTTGCTTATCTCAAATGACCACTATAACTTACGTATCCTTTCAGATCAAAGGGTTCTTTAAGTTTTGTCCAGACTATGTGTCTGCAAATCTGAGTTTTTTTTTCTGATATGACAGATCATGAACTAAGTTTACCCTTTTCCATACAATGGTACCTTATATATATATAGACAGTTAAATTGTATTATTTAATCTTCTCTGTCACAATTGTCTGGGTTTAGATTTGATTATATTCTTCTTATCACTTGTTTATACTATGCATTCCTTTAGCTCTGGCAAAGTGGCTAGTCTTACAGAAAGAAATCTTGTGTCTTTTTGTTAACTTGAAAATTACAAAATGGAGTCTGGTCTGTTCAGAGTGACTCAGAATATACACTTTTAGTTTCTATCATAGCACAACATGTCATGTGTCCTTAAGGGGTTAAGTGGGTTACTGGTCTTCCATACACCACATTTTGGAGTTGGATTACTCTGGACTGTTTGGTTTCTCTTTATGAATGAGTGCTGTACACCTCAATATGCAAGAATGTAAGGCAATATCTGTTGGTGAAAACGACTGACTTTTGTTACTGCTAGAGCTGGCCTGCTGATGGGATACACCACACTAACAGGTTTATTCACTAAAGTGAGAATTCAAATTGAGTTTTAAAGGTAAAGTAGCAACAGACTTAGAAAATGTTTCCATTTTTACTACTTTGATCTTAAAGGGACACTCCACTGCTGACATAAAAAAAATAAAAATAAAATCACTGTTTGGTTTAGATACCCCAATTAAATATGCATACATTTATTATGCATTTTTCCATTGAGGGTTTATTTAAAAACAGCTTGCAAAAGCTTCAGATCTCTGCAGGGCTTTTCAAGCCCTTTACTCCAACCTCCAAACCAGACTTTCTGTGGCTATCCAATCACAGGGGGTGTAATAGCGTTAATTTATAAAAGTGCCAATAACTATCGATCTGCACTTTTTCTAAAATGGGAAAAAAAGAGGACACCTAAAGCATTTCAGCAAGTGTCCCTTTAAATTTTAAATTCACTTTGGATTCTTACTTTAGTGATCACTGAAAGTATTTATAATATAAGTATGACATAAAAGACTGTATCTCTTCCAGTATCAGATACAATATGTCTGTGAATTGTAAAAAAATTGTCAATAATAAAATTAAACACATATCCATTTTAATTTGTTTATGTGATTTAAGATGCACATTTCCAGATTTTATCATAGCTACAGTCTACATTTAGTGCATCCAGCTTCTCTCCTCCAAAACACCATCCTTTTAATATGTCCTAAAATATGCACTGTTCATGCTGGAGATGTGATTTAGATCTGTCATCTGAGAGAAACAGGTGCTTTGACAATAATTCTAGCTCTTAGTTGCCAAACCTGATGTTTATAATCAATGACTTATAATGCAACCAGATTGATATAATCACAGAACAAGTTATTGAAACATTGAAACGCATATTTCATAAAATGCTTTGCTTCAAAAAGAGCTTCTTAAATGCTTGTACTATTTTCCCAACATAAAGTACAGCGAAGAGAAAAATAAATGTGTATTAATATTGAAAATATAAGAACTTTTAACAATGAATCATTTGTTAGACTAATATCAT